CGTTAGCGGTCGGCAGCTCGGGCCCCGCCTGTGACATGCCTGTGGGCCCCGCGTGTCACGGGAGAATGCCATCAACTGCCGTCTGACGTGACTGTAGGTTACGGGCAGGGTGCCGTGGGTCTCTCGGGGCGGAGCCGGACCGGGTTCCGGAACAACGCCACACCTGGGTAGAAACATTGATAGTGTGGTTACTGGTCCACCAAAGAGTAAATGGAGATCGGGGCGTATGACCAGTTGACCTTTCTTGCATATAATCGGATTTCACAACGTTGATGAGCATTGCACAGTTGCTGCTGATCGTAGGCCAGGCTACTTGACGCGCGTTTTGCTGATTATTGATAAGAGGACGGTGGGAAGCATAGGCAAAGCTGGCCATTGAAAATATGCGATGACTGGTTTGGCATGACTCGACACTTGACAAGACACGAAAGACTCGACGTAATCGACATGACTGTCGGTGTCGGTGTGCTGAGCGACATCTCTAACTGCAGCTCGGTTGTTCCACAGCGCTGGCAATGACGGAGGTCGTGAAACTGCAGGGGTCCTCTGCGGCCGGCTCCCAGGCCACCGCCACCTCCGTGGTTCCCCAGGAGGACGGCGACCACCGACAGCGGCCCAACAACACGGCGCCCTTATGAGAGCGGGCCTCGGGCGCGGCCGGCCGTGCGCCGCCGCCGGCGCCGGTCGTGCACGTGGTGGAGAACCCGCTGCCGGCCGAGGAGCCGGCGCTGCGGCGCCGGGTGTCGACCACCGGCCGCAGGGGCGCCGCCGACTCGGACGGACCGCCCAGCTACGCCTCGGTGGTGGGGCCGGCGCGCGGCGCGCCCGACTGGACGCCGGAGGCGGCCGCCGACTGGCCCGACGAGGACGACTCGACGAGGGCGCACTGCGGCGACTCGCCGCTCTCCAACGGCGTCGAGCCGGCGCTGCTGCCGGCCGCCGACATTTACCCAGATGCCAAGGAGTTGGCAATCTAAGTAATGGAACCTGATGATCTGATTGATCCAAAAACCTGCAGTATTTTTAGGTGTACGAGACAATGCTGAATGTTTCCAGTCACTGTATGAGAAGAATGCATGTGACCAACAGCGATGCTGCTATGTCGTCAGTTCATGTTTTAGGCATATGTTGCGAAGCTCTGCGAGCATGTCAGCATCGCATCGCTTTCTGCTGTAAGGTGTTGTCCATAGTTCACTCACGCCCATTCAAAACAAAACTATCCATCGCGGAAAGATTGAACCGCTGCACTGTTCCCTATGTAGTATGTGGACACGACTGCTCTGTCCTGGGTGAATTCGCCTCTCCGTCAGTGCAGTTTGACCGGGCAGCGCTTGATCCCGACTTAGCTCATAAGCTAACCTGTTATGTTCACTCGCCATGTCGCTAGTCAGGTACGCTATGTTACTGATCCAATGTGGTTACAAGGGTCTGAATTAAGAGCCTAAATCAACAGGTTCAGTCCTTTGCCGTTTAATTACATTACACGACCAACAAACGCTTTATGCGCTGAATCACATCGTTGATTGGTACTTTAACAGATTATGCAAGACAACTAATGATAAAGCGCTCCTACTGGAACCTGATTATTGCGAAATGATATTGCCGTAACGATTTCATCTATTTTCAAGTAATACTTTTAAGTGAATTGTGCATATTTATGCACATATAACCCTATTAGTGGCAGGGGGGGTTGTTTTTATCCACCCCTCAGGTTTTTCGGGAATATCTCCGAAACCGCTGAAGCTACGATGCTGAAATTTTCTGACTTTTCTTAAAACTAAATTGGGCACATTCCCTGAAAATTTCAAGTTCATAACTTTACCAGGGGCGGCTCCAGAGCACTGGGAATTGGGGGGTCCTATTCGTGAAGCGAGTCATTTGGGCGAAGATCACGATGCTGCACCAGTTTTACGAACAGTGAATAAAAGGTATCATGTGATAACAGTTACAGTTATTGTGCATCCTCTTTTGACACGTTTTTGCTATAATTGGCGGATCCAGGCGTCCAAAAAGGGGGTTATGTTTTACCTCCCAACATAGGTGCCCTGACACCGCCTATGCATGACCAATACAATTGTAGTCGTTCTCTCATAAGAAAACTGTAACATAACAAGACCATTACCACCCTTTTTAGAAACAGTACCAACAAAAACCTTATTTACTATACTTTTTGTGTACCCCCAATCTCAATGATCTGTATCCGCCTATGATTTTTGAAAATGGATATTTTTAGGATCCATGTGAATTCCTGGTTCATTCTCTATCGATCGGCAAAAGTTGCGTTAAGATTGGTTCAGAAACCTGGCCGTGATAAACAGTCTAAAATGTATCTGCAATTTGCCCGTTTTTACCCCCCTCTACCCCCCTATTGACATTTTTTAATTCTTATTTTTTAGAAATGTAGATCACGATGAGCGAAACCGAATGCCGTTTGAATTTTGAAAATCGGCCCGTTAGATCCCGAGATATCAGGGGGGGGGGTCGTAAACAGCCCCCCCCCCCTGCCACTAATCGGGGTAGCCAGGAGCCTGCCACTAATAGGGTTAAACCAGTTTTGCACGAGCTTAAGATCATTACATCAAATATGACAGAAGCTTTAACGCAATCTTTCGTTTCAATGCTGTCAACAATATTTCGACAATGTCGTCTGTTCGCCTTCAGTGAAGAGTCGAAACTCAAAACTGGCCGGAAGATTTGATTACGACGAGCCCACTTTGTTGATACATGGCTAGTTGTGATTCTCATATCTTAAACGTTTCCGAACCGTTTTCTGCAACGGAGAGATGACAATTAGTTCCGCTCAGCGACAATCTCCTTGGGATCTTATTTGGTCTCTTATTCGAACTGTTTCCATCTTATGAGATCTCCACTTAATAAACGTGCTAATTACCTCAAAGCAATTAACGCTCATATACCAAACATATAAACATATAAAAGGATGATTGCATAAAGCATAAACATATAAAAGGGATGCTTGCATAATTGGATGCCATTATTTTATAGTGCCAGCAAGTTGTTGCTCTTTAATTTGGTATATGTCTAAGTGATCGCAGGTCTCGCATATAAAACCCTGATTTGATCACTCTTCCGCAGATCACTCTTCCTCGAATGGTTCCGGGAAGCCGGGATATTTCTGGAGGAATTATCTCACAAACGAAGCATATCTTGTAATATACCTTCATCCTTCTTATGGCATATCCATCGGCAACCATGCTCATTGTTTTGTGCGTGCTGAATCATATCGGAGGCTGATGCATATACCACCCCATCCCTCAGTCCCCGGGGGCTTGACTCTTTCCCTCGCGCCTCTCTCTGATCTAGGAGACTAGATCTCGTCTCCGCCTCGGGTCTCTGCTCCGTGGCCGACACAGCGCATACCAATGACCTCTGCCTGTCGACAGCGTCCGCCTCAGGGCGGCGACTGAGAGGTCCACCCGCGGCGGATCGGCACAGCCGGCGCCGCAACGTTTCAGACGAGCATGAGAGACGTGACGTGAGATCACACCATGGCCAGCTTGCAGAACGACCTGTCACATCCGTGACGAGGCTGACCTGTGACGGCCAGGCTGAGAACTGAACACCCGGTGGACCTTGACCTGGGATACCGGAGCGCTGTCACTTAGTATCGATCGGCCCAGCGGGTGGCAGCCAGCCGAGCACGGCAGCCGAGAGTGGTGCTGACACGGGAAGGGACGCGAGAGAGAGAGAGAGAGAGAGCCGAGCGTTACAATGTTGATAAACTTGTGACTTGTCTGCAAAGAACGCCAAGAAATGTAATAATGCGTTTATCATGTACAGACCCAATCAGGCCAATATCCATCAATGCATAAACAGCGCGTTTTTTAAGAGCATTTATTACTTTCATGGCCTGCGAGACTATTACCGTTTTACAAATAAAGTGGAGGGACGGTTAAATCGGCACCAGCTCACCCTTAGGTAAGTACCATACAACCGCGACATATCGGTGCGCAATTGCCAGTGATGATATATAGTTAATATTTTTTGGTAGCTTGATTACAAATGCTCATGTTGGCTTGTGCGTCTTGCTTGTTAGTTAGTGGAATCTCGGCAACTTTTTCGTTCCAGAATTGGTGTGTCGGTATATCAATATGTTCGAACGTTATCATCATAGTATATGACTGTTACTGTGAAAAGAAAGTGTATTTTCACTGCTACATGTGTGCATTGTATTTCAATGCCATCGCCATGATTATCAATGTTCAAAATGATGTTGCGTAGTGTATGTATTGCGCATTTCGAGACAAGAATGAATCTAAAATTATCATCTGCGTCACTGTTTGTTGTACCTACACATCGATGTCTGTGCTGGGTTACCATAGCAGTATCTGTTTGAGATAGCTCCTAAAACGATGGACCCTTTCCTGTAGTGCTGGTGCTCAATGTTTTAATAAATGTTACGCTATTGGTATCGTTTCACGGCTGTTACTACTTACAAAAGCCTCTGTAGATATATGCTAAAATAGGCATATTAAAAAAGATTTTGAAAAGCGCAAAACGAAGTCACCCTCAGTAACACTCACTGCACGCAATAGCGCCGGTCGGACTGAGTGACTGCGAGGATATACTGTGCCGCCGTACACCAAGCCACTGCGAGGTATGCTGTGCCGCCGTACACTGAAGCGCTGCGGCACAGCGTCACCTGGCGCCCGCCGGCAGCAGTGCGCGGCTACTGGCGACTGGCTCCATGCATCACTCGATGTTTTGACGCAGGCCGCATCAGCCAACAGTCCTTATTATAACATGACTGGGCAAAAAAGGAACAATTAACCTGAACCTAACAGAGTTTCTTGTTTTCTACGGCCTGTTGGAGTCTGGAGAATGTTTTAACATTCTCCTTCTAGCTTCGGCTCTAGGTCACAAAGCAACAAACGGGAGGCTCTTAAAGACCGATACGCTGTCCCTGTGTAGAGTATGCTTTATGGATACGCTCACTCATAGAGAGCACATGTGAATTAAGACAGTTAGAGTTATTGCTAAACTTTTACAATAAAAACGGAGCGGTGTATTGGTAGAGATCGTAGGATTGTTATTACCCAAGAAAGCAACGTCACATCTACCTGCACACATGTAAACACAGAACAACACTTCCGAAACGCTATTGCCGTAGAGGACAATAAGAACTATGATAGATTTAAATATAAGCTCCCTTGAAAAACTGACTTCTTGAGAGCAATGTCTCACGAGTTACTTAAAGTTATCACAGACACACGCACCTTCACAGGGCAAAGCATACAAATTATAGTGCACATGAATACTAAGAGCCTATTGCGTTGAAAGGGATGCACTCCAATATTCGTTCACTGAGTCGTATGGGCGTCAATAAAAGACCTGCGTAGTTCACAGAGACTGGACAAACATATAGATTCGTACACCTACACAGCGTAAAAAATAGGGCCAATGTGTCATAAAGTACATGCCTGTGATGCTCTTCTATGATCGGCTGTTACGCTGTTCTTGTGATTTTAGGCTCCAGTCTTTTTTATACGTTGAAGATGTACTTTTGTGCGCTTCTGCCAATCATTTTTTTTTTTCAAACAGGCGATGGATTGATAGGTGAGAATGCACGTTGACTGCCATTTTGACCCGGGTAAGCTAAGCAGATCGGTCGCATGTTTCACTATCTGTACCTAGGTATGTTTAACAAAACTATGTACAATGAATGGAGTCGATGCATACAGCATGAGATGAAGACATTCTGGAGCCGTGTTGGCAAATAACATGATGCAAGGATAATATTTAACTGTTTACGTTCACGCCTAGCCTCTTTACACTATCGGCTCACCCATGCGACGTCTATCATTAATAACCTCGATACTGTCAAGGAAAAAAGCGGTAAAATAGGACTCATTCCCAGAGCAGAGCACACCCGTCTTTAGTTCGGCAGAACCACTTATCGACACCGAACCTCAGCCAGCACATTTCCACAGACATTGCACTTGTGCGCACGCTTTGACATGCCAATAGCACTCGTTTCCAGTCCCCATAGCACTCCAGTTGCATTCTCTGAAACCTGAACAAAGTCACAAAGTTTCATACGAAGGACGCTTCCTATGCCGAATTCCCCTGCATCGTTCCTGCTGCGAATTAGCAGTCAAAGTTCGACCTAGATGGCCAACTCCTTGGCATCTGTGTAAATGTCGGCGGCCGGCAGCAGCGCCGGCTCGACGCCGTTGGAGAGCGGCGAGTCGCCACAGTGCGCCCTCGTCGAGTCGTCCTCGTCGGGCCAGTCGGCAGCCGCCTCCGGCGTCCAGTCGGGCGTGCCGCGCGCCGGCCCCACCACCGAGGCGTAGCTGGGCGGTCCGTCCGAGTCGGCGGCGCCCCTGCGGCCGGTGGCCGACACCCAGCGCCGCAGCGCCGGCTCCTCGGCCGGCAGCGGGTTCTCCACCACGTGCACGGCCGGCGCCGGCGGCGGCGCACGGCCGGCCGCGCCAGAGGCCTGCTCTCATAAGGGCGCCGTGTTGTTGGGCCGCTGTCGGTGGTCGCCGTCCTCCTGGGGAACCACAGAGGTGGCCGTGGCCTGGGAGCCGGCCCCCGAGGACGCCAACAGCTTCACCTCGGTCGTGGCCGAAGCTGCAACAGACGAAACATGCAAGTTTTCAATAATACATTTTAACCCTATTAGTGGCAGGGGGGGGGGGTTGTTTTCATCCACCCCTCAGGTTTTTCGGGAATATCTCCGAAACCGCTGAAGCTACGATGCTGAAATTTTCTGACTTTTCCTAAAACTAAATTGGGCACATTCCCTGAAAATTTCAAGTTCATAACTTTACCAGGGGCGGCTCCAGAGCACTGGGAATTGGGGGGTCCTATTCGTGAAGCGAGTCATTTGGGCGAAGATCACGATGCTGATGTATTAGAACTGTATGCACCAGTTTTACGAACAGTGAATGAAAGGTATCATGTGATAACATATACAAAGTTATTGTGCATCCTCTTTTGACACGTTTTTGCTATAAAAGGCGGATCCAGGCGTCCAAAAAGGGGGGTTATGTTTTACCTCCCAACATAGGTGCCCTGACACCGCCTATGCATGACCAATACAATTGCAGTCGTTCTCTCATAAGAAAATTGTAACATAACACAACCATTGCCACCCTTTTTAGAAACAGTACCAACAAAAACCTTATTTACTTTACTTTTTATGTACCCCCAATCTCAATGATCTGTATCCGCCTATGATTTTTGAAAATGCATATTTTTAGGATCCATGTGAATTCCTGGTTCATTCTCTATCGATCGGCAAAAGTTGCGTTAAGATTGGTTCAGAAACCTGGCCGTGATAAACAGTAAAATGTATCTGCAATTTGCCCGTTTTTACCCCCCTCTACCCCCTATTGACATTTTTTAATTTTTATTTTTTAGAAATGTAGATCACGTTGAGCGAAATCGAATGCCGTTTGAATTTTGAAAATCAGCCCGTTAGATCTCGAGATATCAGGGGGGGTCGTAAACAGCCCCCCCCCTGCCACTAATAGGGGTAGCCAGGAGCCTGCCACTAATAGGGTTAACCCTCGCCCGCACATGGGGGGGGGGTGGTTGCCACCCCCCCAGGCAGTCTTTCTGCTCTGCACTCAACATTTTTAGAGCTAGAAGGCTGATTTTTCGTATAGCTGCTCGTCTATCCTTTCTTGATGTCCACTGAAAATTACAAGTTTCTGTGATTTTTGGTTTCGGAGATATGACCTTGTTTTTCAGGTCATGTCATGACCCAAATGGCCAATTCTCAACATCTTGCGTTTGCCATGGGCCTTGTGAGCTTTTGACACCCTGATTTCGGCCTTTTTTGCCAGTCTTACCTCCCACCTATCATGGAACATGTTGTTCCACGATGTACAGGGGTCAAAGTCAGGGTCAAGGTCAACCTAGGTCATCTAAGATAATTGCGTTTTAGGCAAGCTGAATTTACTTTTTGTGAAGTTTTTTGACTGCATTTTTGGTAAAAGCTTCTCAGATCATGATTTCATGTGATATGGACCCAAAAACAATCGGTGCACACATCAGTATACACACAGACACACACAGACATACAAACACATATAATTGACCTACCCTAACTTGACCTGAAATGACCTCAGCAGCAAAATTCTGGTCGGATAGTGTGACAAAGAGGTTCTAGCTGGCTTGGCACCAGAAAACAGCATCGTCATCGGTATTTGATAAGCAGCGCACATGATATCCAACGGTGACCCAAAACAGCAACATTTTTTAGTTTGACCTGACCTGGAAGGTCAATGACTGACCTGAGAAGGTAAAACTGGGTATCATTGGATTCGTCTCTTCCCAAAGAATCTTTTTGGTTTTTACTGCTAAGTTCTATCTCCAACAGGAACGAAATGGCGCGGGGGGGTGGCAACCACCCCCCCCCCCCATGTGCGTTCTAGGATGGGAAAATGGCATGTGCGGGCGAGGGTTAAACTAACAGAAAAGAAGAACCACGCAAAGTATGTAAGCTACTTTTTAACATTATGACTTATGTCAGTGAATTTGGGAACAAAGCTAGGTACTCATAAATCACACTGACCGCATTCTATCCAACATTCCCATTTTTCAATGCCTTTTTCCTCCTACCAGCACTGCTAGCGCACGCTCAGTCTCTTAGCTCCCAGCTTTCTGAGCCTTCTCTCGGGCGGTGCCCGTATGGCCCCCGGCCATTCGAACGGCCCCGTTCTCCCTGGGAAGCGGCATTGGGCGGGACGGCCGCCTCGGCACGGCTCATAATGAATACGTCCGCGGCCTGCTCTAGCAATGACCATTCAGCCAAGCCGCCCCTGTCACCGACATAGACACAACCGTCGCCGAGAAGAGAGTGGGAGAGAGCATCTCCTCTCCTCACACCGGGAGGAGGAGGCCCTCTGTCGAACGGCCAGCCCAAATCGATGCGTCCGCCGAGACGACATTGTTTTCTTCGGACTCACCAAAACGATAAATGGTCGGCTATAAAGACCGCCCGGAAAGGAGATGGGGCTCAATAACACTTTTAGAGATTGTATTCATCTGTAAATTGGCTGCTGAAATGAATTTGTGGACACATTTTATCGGAGGGATGATTGCCCGATTCACTGTAAACGTATTGCTAGGATATGCTGGAAGATGAATGATGTCATTAGTTTAAATTCGTAAAAATATTAAACGAAGTAATTCAAAAATCATGTTAAATAAAATTAATGAGAGGTGGGTGAATTTCTTGAATGGAATATAAGCGATTTATCAAGGCCTTCCACCAAGCTTAGAACTAAGAGCTTAGAGCTACTGAATTCTCGAATCTGACTCAATAGTCTTCAACAGTTGGTCATCCTTCAACTTACTGTGGTTGAGAGATGGTGCCGCCGAACTTGACGGCACTCTTCGATAGGTAGCGCTGTTCATCGTCAGCTTCCGCACGTTCTTCTCCGGGTGGAAGACGATGATGTAGACCTTGGGCGCGTACAGGCAGATAAGCGCCACCGAGGCCGACAGACTGATGGCCACGCACAGCGTGGTGATCTGAACCTGAAACACGCAACGATGGCTGTAAACTTCGATACTTTGGGTCATCAGTTATCCATAGCATCTGTAACAAATGTAAAAAGTAAATAAACAATTTCTTCTTCTGTGATAGTCTGTTTTGGGGACCTCTTGTTTCAGCCGTATAACCAACACGGTTTTTCTTTTCTTCAAGTATGTATTGCAAATTTGACGACAGAATCCAAAAGTAATAAACAGTCGGCCGAGACTTTGAATAACGATACGTCAGGCCGCTACGGCGGTTGGCTTTCGAATCATCCTTTCACAGCTACTGCTCGGCGTTCGGCGTCGGCCGCTATATTCAAACGTCATACACACACGTCATACATATAGATGTACGTCATATCATAGCACCAATCAGAAGCGGGCAAGGACAGGCGTCGCAGGTGAGGAGTGAGGACCATATAAGGGTATTGTAAGTGGGCGAGGGGGCTGGGCAGTAAGTAGGTACAGAGGGAGGTGGAGGACGGGGTAGGAACGAATTTCGTTACAACACAACGCGAGGTCCTTAAAGCTGAAATTTTGACCAAAATTTTCGGCTTGGGATACTCCTAATATGATGCATGATATAACGTACACAACACACGACACAACACAAACAACACCTAACACAACCATATACACAGCACCTCAACACACAATTCCCCGTTCTTTTTTCTCGATCGTTGTAGTCCTCGTAGCTATAAGTCTATAGAGTCTTCTTCACTGTCCGCTTACGAAACATAGTCTACTGTCCCACTCGTGCTCATCGATTCGGTTCTCGCTTCGCAATCACTGGTAAGATTCCGCTGCGGGCACATCAGTTCAGGGAGTTCAGAGAGTTCAGAGGGTTTAGGTCACCTTTGACGCTGCTGTCTGACACGTGTTTGTCAGTCCATTGTCCATTGACACCAGATCGTGTGTCAGGTGTCGACACGCTGTCGCCAGATGATGTGTCAGATGTTGACACATTGACGTTCTCACGTCTCGCGTCTTGTTGTGGGTCGTCCGTCTGGTGTCGGGCTGACCAGACCACGCGTCAGCGTAGTTTTATCGGGGCGCCCGGACGTGGGGTGTCCGATGCGGGGCGGCCCGATCTCAGTGGCGCTGACTAGCACCGGCGGCGGCTCGACCGAGTGTGGGAGCACCGCTACTGGTACCTCTGCTGCGGAGAAAGAACTCCTCTGGAAAATATTTGCATCAGGCATCTGCGGATTTCTGAGAAGCGAGGGTCGGAGACGGTTTTAACCATTGTAAGCACGAGGGACTTGGGTCCGTGAGTTTTTCCCGGGGCTTGATATTTGGAGCTACACTTGACGTTTCTTCAACAATAACGCTGTCAGGGGCAGGATTTTGAGCGGATACTTTCTAAGGTCGGATCACAATGGGTTTAAACACATGACATCGGACGTATAGAACAGTTAATAGCACTAACGCAACCACAATACACGTTGTGACCGAGATGGCGGGGATAACGACAGTTTTATTATGCTGAGCATTGCGTACTCGAATCTGTTGAATATGTTTCTTCAAGTTAGACAAATGGACACTTTTGTCCTGAAGTGGGGGAATGAAGTTTACGGCTTCGGGGAGTGAAACATTAGTTTCCGAAAGATCAACAAGTACCGCATTTGACCAAGTATCTAGTACAATGTCAATAACTTTTACGCTCTGGTTAAACTTAGCAAAAAGCTGAATTGCCTGGTCACTTCGCAATTGTTGGCGGTGCTCTGCAAATATACTACTGACTTTACTTTTGAAGAGCTTCACATGATGCTCCAGCTTCAATACAAACGTCCATGATGTCCTGGTTTCGATGGGGATGTGAAGAGTCCAGTGGTCGTATGAAGCGTAGAGATGGCCTCGGGGCAGGAAGAGAACGTTGGCCGTTGTCGGAGATGTCAGATAGAACAGGAATGTCAGGAAGAACGGTCTTGCCCACATCTCTGGAACACACACAAACAACTATCAACATTTCGCAAACATGAGGTTAGTACACGAACAATTGAACGGTTCACTGACCGAACATAAAATGAACAACACATAAATGGCTGTGGCATACTAGCCAGAGTCGGTATATCATTCAACACAATACAACGTGGTACCGCGATTACGTTGTCTTCGGCATACAAACCGGGATCCATATTCTATATAAACACTATAACACCATACAGCCGTTCAGCCTTCATCGTACTAGCTGGGTTCCACAAAATACTGTAGACATTCGGCTGTCATCCGACCTGTAATAACTCAGTGGGCCGGGGAACCTTTTTACATTTTTTCTAATTGTTTGAACATGTCGGTCATCAACTTCTCATGCGTTTTCAGCATCTTAACTAACAGGGCTTCTTTCACACGTGGGTTAGTACACATTTGCTCCTTTTCAATATGTACACCATCGGCGTCCAATTCGTCTGAATCTGATTCGTGGTCTTGGTCGGCACATTGTAATTTTGAAGGAGGACTACGCGCTTCTGCATCCATGTCGTTCGACTCTGAGTTTGTACGGGTGAGTGGTCTTTTCATAGGGGTAGGTTCAATTTCGAATGGATCAGATAACTTTTCCGTTCTCAGGCGCTTTGCTAATTGGGACAAAGGAATATTCTCGTCGTCAGAACTATTGTCTTTCGATTTTTCTTCTCTCCATCGTTTTCGCATTTCGGATAACGGCACGTCAAGATCTGCATCGGAATCAGAATCTTCAGGTAAAGGTGGGTAATTTTGTTCACTCGGCGACGGTTTCGCTGGAGCGTAAGTTTCAACAGGGGTTGATATCGAACTGGGGGTTGAATCACGAATAGACCGATCTGTGACTGTTTCAGTATTATGCATTTCTGTATCAGCGAATGAGAACTTTGATTGACGTGGAGGCTGCACACGAAGTGGAACCGGGATAAACGACTTCTGTTTACTTTCGTACTTGCTGTTGATATGATGTGGTTCTTCTGTCACGTTTTCCCAAAGGGTATCTGGATCAGCGAATCTCAAATTATGAACGTTCACTACTTTGACATCGCCAGACAGCTGGTTCTTAATGACAAACGTTACGTCGTTGATGGCTTTGATAACGCGGTAAAAAGGTTTCCAATGGCACGACAGTTTGGAAGCATTTTGAGTCGCCTCTGTAGGGTTTCTGAAATAAACCATATCACCGACTTTGATTTTCGTTGGTTTAGCGGTACGATCGTAATAAAATTTGTTTCTCTCATGACTTTGTACTAGGTTGTGACGCACATGACTGTAGGCAGAATGCATGTTTTCGAGCATGGTAGGTACGTAATCCTCACCTTGGTAACGATATTTTGGAGATAAAATGCTATCGAGTGGTAGAACAGGGTCACGACCGTAAAGAAGGAAGAAAGGGGAATACTTGGTAGTCTCGTTTTTCGCGGTGCGATAAGCAGACAAGATTGAAGGAAGCTTTGTGTCCCAGTCACGTTGAGATTTACTCACTAACTTTGCTAACATGTCGTTCTGAACTCGATTATATCTTTCGCATTTGCCGTTCGATTGCGGGTGGTAAACGGAAGTTCGGATATGTTTAATGTTGCTAAAAGTTGTAATTTGGTCTATGACGGCGTTACAAAACTCTGTACCATTGTCTGAAATCATAATCCTAGGACAAGCATGGCGAGGGATGATATGTTCTAATAAAATTTGGGCAACCGTTTCTGCACTTTTTGATGAGGTAGCGAACGACTCTGGCCATCCAGAAAATAAATCGATGACAGTAATAATGTACCGGTTTCCTTGGAAACTTTCAGGGTACGGACCGGACGTATCTACTGCGATCTGCTCGAAAGGAAACTTGGGGATTGGCATATCTTGCAGAGGGGGTCGCTCGCGTCTGAGTTTCCTCATATTACAGGCGACACATGTTTTTAAATACTGAACAACGTCTCGATATAAACCGGACCAAAAATAACGTGAACGGATCTTGTCGTACGTTTTATCTATACCTAAGTGTCCACCGAAATAGCCTGAATGAATTTCTTCGATGATCAGTTTCTGTAGGGGCTTGGGAATAACTAACTGCAAACCTGGAAATGAGGGGTATTTGGACGGATCAGAAACTCGATATAGTAGACCGTCTTCCAAAATATAATAACGAGACACTACAGCATGGTTCGAATGATTTGGGTCCTGTAATACTTTGATCAATTGTTGGATCTGTAAACCAAGGTCGGGATGTCCTTGCAAAAACTCTTTGAATTTTTCCTTGGAAGGAGCCTCAGGTAACTCACTTCTTTTCACTTCAGTCTCTTTTTGAACGTCAGGCGCTCTATCGGAATCAATCACATTCACACTGCACGAAGATTCATTATTTACACCGAATGTGGCTACGCATTCGTCGACATGGCACGGTAATGACTCACTAGTCATTAATCCATTTCCTGGGATATCCGTGTGACAATCCTCTCCTGAGGTGTCCAGTCGCGACAATGCGTCTGCAACTACATTCTGACGTCCGCTAATATACTGAATATCACATCCGTACTCATCTAATATAATCGCCCAACGTTGAATCCTAGCATTCTTCATTTCACTGGTGAACAGGTGCTTGAGGGGCTGGTGGTCCGTCATAATCGTAACTTTACAACCGAGTAAATAGGGACGGAACTTTTGTACACTATATACAATTGCATAAGCTTCTCGCTCGATAGTAGGCCAGCGTTGCTGGGTTTCGTTGAGCTGATGCGACAAATATTGGATGACTCTTTCACCCAATTCAGTCTCTTGGACTAGCGCAGCACCTATGGCGTTTTGTGACGCGTCAGTATATAACTTGTACGGCTTATCTACGTTCGGATATGCCAAAATTGGTGCAACTGTTAAAGCTGAACGAAGAGTTTCAAACGAAGACTGACATGCATCATCCCAATAAAAACGACGATTTTTCTTTGTTAGCTCTGTCAATGGTTTGGCTATCCTTGCAAAATTTGGAACGAATCGCCTGTAGAATCCACACATACCAAGGAATGATCTGACGCCTTTGACATTTGTCG